CCGCCGCTGCCGTGCTGCTGCTGCTGCTGCTGCGGCGGCGGCGGCGGCGGCGGTGGGACGCCGTCAGGGTGCCGCCGCTTGACCAAGTGCAATTGGTGCAAAGCCCCCGCCGCCGCCGCCAGCACCGCCAGCTGCGCGAATTTGACACGCTGCTGATACAACGCCTCATGCTCCTCCTGCTGCTGCGTCTGCTGCTGCTGCTGCTGCTGCTGCTGCTGCTCGCCTGCCCCGCCATCGCCACCATTAATTAGCTGCTGCTTCCGCTGCTCCTGCTGCTCGTGCTCCCGCTGCTCCTGGCAGGGCCCGCACACTGACAGGCTGGCGGTCACAAGGTCCACAGCCTGACAGGCCACCTCCGCTGCATCGGGCGCGTACGACTGCAGCCCATTCCACAGCCACAACGGCAGCGCGAGCTTGGTATGGGGCGCCGCGCACGCCGCCGCCTGCTGGTCGGCCGCCGCGGCCGCGGCGGCGGCGGCTGCGGATGTGGCCGCTGCAGCGGTTGCAGCCTCCTTAGTCGCCGCTGCGTCGTCGTAAAAGCCCCCATTGTCCTGAGTATATATGTAGCGAGGGGGGGGGACGCAACGCACGAAGCACATGGATGAGGAGCTGCATCCAGCCGCTGGAGAGTTGCTGCGCAACAAGAACAGTATGCACAATCACGGCACCAGCGGCATAGCCTAGAGCAGCTGCCCAGCTGTTCCCAGATCAGCGTGCCCTGGGCGACCTCGCGCCGCCGCCCCTGACGGCTGCCTGTCACTGATACTCTACCACATGCGCTCACCATTATGTGCTGAAAAGCAACCTCCAGCGCCGCCATCTCGTCCTGGTGGGTTGGAAAGTACTTGGCCGGCAGGCCTGCGGGCAAAGTGGCGGGGCCAAGAAGCAGCACGCTGGGTCAGCACGTTCCAGGCCAGTGGGGCCAGGGCAGTGGGGCACCAGCTGCTGCAAACATATGTTGCAAAGCGCCCTGCAGCCCCGCGACACGAAATGTCTGCCTCAGTCCTTTGCCACTGCGAGCGCCCTCCTGTGTCAGGCTGCTGCCGCCTTGCAAAGCCCCCTGACCCTGTACAATCTCGGCTCGTAATGTTGCTGACGAACAATATTGTGGGTTCCCATGGCGCGCGTGGCTCACTGTCTGGCTTTCCGCGTTTCCTCGGCCGCTGGTCCCCGCCGCCAGCGCCGCGTTTGCCATACCCCGCGAGCCCGCTGGAGTACATCATCAGCGGCGCCTGCAGCACTGGCAGGCCCGCCGATTTGTCAAATGGCAGCTGCCCCTGCTGCTGCAGCGCAGCGACCTGCGCTTTGACCTGCGCCTCCCGCGCCTCCCAGTCCTTGTCCTCGTAGTCCTATGAGTTTTGTTGTGGTCGTTCAAGGGGGGTGCGTGGTTTGCGAGGTGCGCGGGGGGGCAGGCAGGCAGTGATGGTGGGCAGCAGGAAGGCCAGCTGTTGACGCATGCAACCGCGCGATGCATCAGCCACGACTGGTCAACAGCTGTGCGCAGTGCCCGCGGTGCAGCGCTCGCAAGGCATCCTCAGTGCGTGTTATCAGCGCGCACCTCCTCTGGCGCGCTGCAGCTGTTCTTCACAGGGTCTGAGTTCATGGAGCAAAACCTGCAGCGGCCGGCAAGCACCGGGTGTCGGCGGACGCGGCAAACTGGGCGGCACGGCGGGGCGGATCGACACGATGCAGCGAGAGTAATGGGTTGCAGTATGTTCTGAGCATACGCAGCAGTGCCGGTTGCAGGATCGAGGCTGCGAACGCACCATTCGATGTCGTCCGCAGGCGCCTTGGACCCGGGAGGAAGCTTGCGCCATTTCTTGCAGTCTGGATTATCACATTGTACCCATACATCCTCCACCAGGACGGGTGCGGCCACTAAAACGGGCTGCTGAGCTTTGCCCCGGCCCCGACCGCGTCCACGTCCCAACATCGGGGCGGTGGTAGGTTGTTTGTATGTATCAGCTTACGGTCGGTGCTGACAACTGTTTAAGCCCGTTGTGTGATCTTGTGACAAATGAAAAGCAGATACAAGGCAAGCCGTACGGTACTGTGCGGAGTGGAATGCCCATGATGTTCTAGAATTATTGTGGAGCATGATGGTTGCCCTGAACCAACTCTCCCGGCCACCCAGAGAAAGTGTGTGACTGCTGCAAATCCGCTGCTGCCCCTATTCATGATACGGGGACGACTCGTGCACCTTGGCTTCACAGACCGCAGGCATGAGGATATTCCACGGTGTTATGTGAAGCGTTGCGGGATACCATTGCTTACGACCGCAGTCCACTCTTACGAGCTCAAAACCGACAGGGCAGATGCTTTCAGATAAGGCGAGCACTTAAACAAAGTTATGCATGTGTTGAGATGTTTTTGCCTGCAGCGCTGGTGCAGGCGTTTTAGGCTGCTTGTGCCATCGCGCCCTGCACGGCCACCTTGTGCTGTCCCTGCCCGCGCATCACTGCAACGTACACCTGCCCACATGTGTACTGATGATCTGGTGTGCCCCACAAACGGTTGCCTGCCACCACAGCCACCCGCCCTGGGAAGGCTGCCCTCTCAGACGAGCGCCGGGTCGCAGGCCTTCAAGCCCTCGTCATGCACCGAACGCATGGAGCGGTTGGGCCTCAACCCCGTCCGACCCATCAGGGCCCCCGGGCAAGCGTCCAAGAAGAAGTTCTGCACGGTGTACGACAAGCAAAGGAAGCTGCTCGCATCCCTGCGTGAGGCGGCGGCGGCCACGGTCCGCGGGTCCAAAGCAGGCAAGGAGCAGCTATGTAAAGAGCGCGGACCAGAGTGCAAAAACCTAGGCAGGCGCCTGCGCGCCGCCATCCTCGCCGGCGAGCCGGTCAGCGGCTGGTGGAAGCCGGCAAGAAGGGCGGCAGCGCTGAGAGACCGGCAGCAGCAGGCGCACATGGCGAGAGAGCGCGCCAAGGGCGATCTGCAGCAGCAGGTGGCCGATGATGGCGCGTGCGACGTGGAGGCAGTGGGCGCCTGGGACGGAGCATCGGGCAAGGTCGCCATCAGATGCAAGCAGGCGGCGGAGGCAGATGCTTTCAGGGACAAGGGCGGTGGTCTGGGCAGGGATGGCAGCAAGCAGGGCAGCAGCGGCCAGCACCAGGGCAGCAGCAACGCGGACGATGTGGACGCCTTCTTGGACGGCCTGCTGATTGAGGCTCGGGCGGGTGCGCCGGCCAACGCGGGAATCCACCGCAGGGCTGACAGCCCCGAGCTCATCACAACCAGTGCAGGCAGCGTTGACGGGCGCGGTGCGCATCGTGCGAGCGGGGGCGTACCTGCAGAGGAGGAGGCGGCCGCCGCAAGCCGCCCCGCCACAGCGAGGACGAACAGTGGCGGAGGCGGCGCCTGTGCGGGGCACGGGCGGAGGGTGCGACCAGCATGGGCGATGACAGAAGCTGATGCACAGGTGGCAGCAGAGTTGCAAGAACAGCAGCAGCAGGAAGAGCTGCTGTCGTTCGCAGAGGGGCTGGACTGGGAGGAATTTGTGGGGCGGCTGGACGACGCCCAAGTGGCGCAGGCGTTTGAGGTGCGTGCATTGGGGCGGCCGAAGCGGCAGCACGCAGGCAGTGGTCCTCGCTTAGCCCCAAGGGCCCACACGTGTAGGCGCTCACACTGCACCTTCAGGGCACTCCTTTGCTTCCCAAAGGCAGCTTCGAGGCACACCGTGCGTGCTTATCATACTCAAGCTCGCATCATCTCCAGCCTGCCTTGACTGCGTTGCTGCGCTTGTATTGTATGGCAGGAGCTGCGGGCAGCGGATCAGCAGGACGGCAAGCCTGGACCCTCGGCAGCCAGCGATGCGGAGTGGCGCCGCAGCTTCGTGCGGGCGCTGAACCATGCGGCCAAGCAGCACAAGGGCGCTGATGTGTCGCAAGTCGCCGCTGCTGCATCTGGTTCAGGGCAGGACGGAGCGCCTTCAAGGTGAGTGTTCGGTGCCTGCATGTGGGCTGAGCTGGCTTGATTGCAATCGCACACCCAGCAGCTGACGCAAGACGAACCTTGAAAAACCCGGCAACCTTGGGACTACCTGCACATGACCCCTTCTCATGGCTTACGCACTTTTGACGCAGCACAAGGGACATGCCCTTTGAGGCGGCGCGTGCCGCGCTGCTCAAGCGGCTTGCTAGTGGCAAGCAGGGCGGCAGTGGCGCGGCGCACGGTGCTAGCGTCTCCCTGGACGCGAGGGGCGAGCGCGACTGGGATGCCTCGACCTGCGTCGGCAGCGACGACGGCAGCGCCAGCAGCACGGGCCATAGGCGTGGTGGGGCGGAGGGGAAGCACGGGGGATGGGCTGAGGCGGCTAGGGACGTGCTGAAGCTGGCGCCGCAGCTGAGGGATGTTCATTCCGCAAGGAGCGTGCGCGGCATCATTGCACGCCAAGAGGGGCAGCCGGATGGGGCAGCCGCGGCCGTTGGCTGACGAGGTTCTGTGACATCCATGCCGAAAATTACACTTCAATGAACCCTGCCGGGCATGGATGGTTCATTACAACCCGTTCAGGTGGCATAGTTGATTCAAATGCCCAAACCAGCAACCCTTGGTCACATCTCATGCAGCCTGCCGCTCATATTGTTGTTGTTACGGAGCCCGCAACGAGCATGCATTTCACGCTGCCTTTCCGCACACCGGTGTTTCAGCCATGCGGCCGCCGCCTTAGCCCCTGCCATCGGCACGGCCTGCAGCGCCCGCCAGCAGGCGCTGCCCTCCTGAGGGCGGCAGCAGGCGGGCATGGTCGCGCCAGTCCGGCCGCTCGGCTAGCAGCCTGTGGCGGAAGAGCTGCGGGTAGCGCGCCGCCTCGGCATCGGGCTCCTGCAGTAAGTATCGCGGCTCATTGATGCCCTGCAAGGCGGTCGCGGGGTGCGGAGGGTGTGAGGTGGCGCGCCGATTGGATGTTGGGCCCGCGGGGCACCACGGCAGGCAGCGATTGGTGCTATAAATGCGGGGCCAGCCAAACGGCAGGATTCCAGCAGCTCAAGAGGGACCGGCCAGTGGAAGGGAGCGGCAACTGAAGTAGGGGGCAGCTGCAGCTAGGCTCAGCACCATGCGTGCCTGTCAGGCAGCAACAAGCAATGTAGAACTTGCAAAAGCATGACCGAGTGCAGTTGACCACAGTTGACCACAGCATGAGGAGCTGCCATTCCTCACGCGGACCTCGTTCAGCCAGTCGGTGGCGAAGAGCCGGCCATCACACATGAGCGCAAAGAAGGACCGCGCCGCCGCCTCAAGCATCCGCTCGTCCACGCCGCTGTAGCAGCTGTCCCTCAGTCTGCCGCTGCAGCCACTTCCAGGCCGGGCTGCGCGGCTGCCTTTGCCGCCCATCGCCGTCAGCACGCTGGCTGTGCACAACCCCGCTCCTGCTGCAGCGGCAAGGACCTGCTGCGGCTTCACAAAAGCCTCAGCACGAGCTGGATTGTTCACCCCCTGGCCATTGTGGTAATCGTTGCTGCCAACGGCGATGCAGCTGTCGCTGTGAGCCCCGCCGCTGCCACTGCAGTTTGTGCTGCCAGCGTCGTTGTGGGGGAGCAGCAGCGCGCGCAGGCCGCCGCGCGCTGTGCTCTGCAACGCGCGGCACGCCTCGCCCTCCCGGATCAGGGCTTGCAGCGCAGGGGGCTCCAGCAGCCCAAGGACACACTGCGCCTGCAAGGATGGGTGCACACGCGCCCGGTCAGGAAGTGGTGCAAGAGGCCGCGCTGATTGTAACATTTGCAACTACTAGGCTAGTAGCCAAAATCCAGCAAGGGTCAAGCTGCAACTGCCTGATTGCAAACTGCGGGCTTCTGATGCGTGGCGGTCAGCAATGGGTGCGACCGCATGCATGAGCAGCTGCCAGAGGCCCCTTGCTCTTGTTTAGAAGATTACGTCATGGTGAGTGATGGGTCCCAGTCAGGTGACATTCGTTATCAACATCACACGTGGCGCAGCCTACCCTGAACCGACTGGACGGCTGACAGACCACCCTCCCACACACCTGCTTCATCACCACTTCACACACGCGAAGCTGTCGGTAGCCCTGCGGCGTACCCAGATCCAGCTGCTCCCACTCACGGCTGTCAGACAGCACCTGCCAGCACATCGAAAGGAGCAGTGATCGCCACCGTCGACCACGGAATGGTTGTTTGCAAGACGGAGGAAAGGCAGTTGACCCAGTAAGCAGGGTGCAATACAGGAGATGGCGCAAACAAAGCAGCCATCAGCGCAGCACAGAGCAGCACGCTTGGCAGCACAGCGACCACAGGGGGGGGGGGCGGCTGCGCACCGAGCTGTGGGAGCCGGCAATGTCACACGGGGCGTGCGCATCGCTGGCCCTTACAGCACTACTAGTGCGCGCACAAACCTTGAGCCACTTGCGCACGTTGGCCGCCCCGACTTCCTCCGCCACCACGGCCTCCACCATGCGGGACATCTGCAGCTTCAGGGCCCCATCCCCCAGCGGCCTGCCGCCACCGTGACGCGCCCCTGGCACCCCAGCCTCCGCCTCCACCTGCCCTGCGATCGCCTCCGCAGCCGCCGCCTTGCCCTCTTGTGCTGCAGCAGGCTGCAGCCTCAGGATGATGGCCGCGCTGCCGCCCTCGGCCTTGGTAGATCCAGCAGCAGCTGCTGCTGTCGCTGCTGCAGCCGCCGTTGGCGGGGGACCAGGGGGCTGGTGTGCGTTGTCCAGCAGCTGCGTGTGTGCGAACCAAAACGCTGGGATGAGCAGGGTGTCACCCGGCTGCAGGTCGACGACAATGCCACGCACCTTTTGAACGGGGCAGTGCGCCGGGCAAGGGGGGGGGGGCGCAATTACGGCTGAGTCCGTAGGCAGGTTTGAATGGATTGCGGGCGCCCTCACGGTGCCAGGAGCTCAAAACCCGCGTCGCGTTCATGAGTGCTGCTGGTGTTGCCCTTCCGCAATCAGGAACACACCAGGTAATCTCGGGGGCGATGTTACCCGCACCTCCTTGGCCCTGGGCCAGTGCTCAACCTCGGGGTCCTCAAAATCCAGGCAGCTGTAGCCATCATAGGGGTGCGCTACCGGAAATGGAGTGGCGCCTCGAAACGCCTGCGGGTGTGCATGTGTTTGAGAGGTGGGGACAGGAGGGGGGTGCCGCCGGTGGTGGTCATCGACGGGGAGCCACCCCACATATGGCTTTCTGCCATGATTCTGGCTGCTACCCCCCGGGGCCCTTTGTTTGCCCTCTCCAAAAGAGCAGCTGCACAAACCCATCCGCTTTGCAGAACGTTCACGTGACGCGGTAATGCACTCTGAGCATCCAAGCGCGAGCCGGGCGCTCTGCGCGCATGGCTTCGCACGCACCATATCGGGCGACACGAGCAGCACGCGCCGCGCGCCCTCAACCTGCACCACAAGCGCGTCGTACGTTTCGTAGCGCGCGGGCATTAGGCAGCCTCCAGGGCCGGCCTGCAGCACTGCCGTGCCGGCACACGCCCAGCCGCCGGCCTGCGGGGTGGTGTCATAGGTGCGGTTCTGTGTGCGACACAACCGATCAGCAACTCTGCTGGAGATTGAGCAGCCAGCACACAAATGTAGAGGTATTTCAGCCGCCCACATCATGCGCAACATGTCAGGCAGTGATGCAATCCTTTGTACTTGCATCAAGGTTTGCATTCCGCAAAAATGTCCACCGGCGTGGCCATCAAGTTCGCTGTGTATCACATCACCCACCGTGATGATGAGCTGCAGCTGTTGCCAGTCCAACAGCCTTTCCGCCAGCTTCCGCCCAGTGTCACCTTCTGCAGCTGCACCACGGACCAGGCCACTGCTGCCATCGCCGCCCCTCCCTTCTGGCTGCTGGCGGGACGATGGCCACTGGAGCAGCTCTGACAGCTCTGCCCAAACCGCCGCATTTGGGTGCACGCGTGCGCTGGCACCTGCGTCCGACCCCACCAGCTCCCATGTGCAGATACTTGCCTGAGCGATCGGGATGGTCAAAATTGGAAAAGCTATTGCAAGGGAGGGCTTTGCAAAGCGCCCCGCCCTTCAAACTGGCAGGCACTAGCTACTCATTTCGGAGAGTCATTGCAGAGCGGAGGTCAACACTGTTTGCGCTGAAACGCAACACACCATCATCATCTGCACTGGACCACACTGGAAACCCTGTTAGCCATGTTCAGGCTATGCTTTGGCCTCAGGCTGAGGCTCAGGCTCACCTTGAGCAGGAGCTTGTTAGCGCTCCACCGCCGCCAGCACCGTCGCCACTCGCCCAGCGGCATGCACAGCAGCCGCCCCTCGCGCTCCGGCCGGCGGACTTCGTAGTAGCTGCCCGGCAGGTTTTTTGGAGCGTCACACCGCATGAACCGCGCAGAGCGGGCCGGGCTTGAAAGGACGGTCACGCCGGGCTGTGGTGTCGTGCGGCGCGTCTGCCCCACACCGGCAGCGTCGGGCCCCCCGCAACCCTGCCACAGGGGCAGGGCATCCTCGTCCTCGTCATGGGGAGCCCCACTGCCATTAGTCGTGGCCATACTTGGCAGGGAGCCCTCAGGATCGGGTGCGATCGAGCAGCTGCTCAAGCGCGTGCTGCGCAGCACCAAGGGCTCGCCACGGCGGAGGGCAGCTGCAGCAAGCAACCCTGTCAGCTGCTTCGGCCAAACTTCCTGGACACTGACGCCTTGCTGCTGCAGCCATGCGGCACAGCGCCAGCCACTGACATCCAGAGGGGTGCTTGAAACACTGTGGCACAGCGAGGGTCGGTTGAATCATGAGTGGATAGTTGCAGTGACCAGCTCGATTTGTGGGCGCTGCTCTCCAACAGTTCCTAGCGCTCCAACAGAGGCAACCCCCTTTCCTACCACCTGTTTATGCACTGAATGCTGGAGGCCGCGCCCTGTAGTGCCTCGGATTGCCGCAAGCCCAGGTTCAGACCCTGGCTGAGGGTCGAACTGCTTGACAGTGCATGACGCAGGGGTGGGTCGGCAGCAGGGGACAAGGGACTGCGGCTGCGACGCGGGACAACCTTGCCTGGTCCTCGCATTTCTGGTCAGGGAATTGCGAAGTCTAATTCTACCACCCTGCGGGCTGCACAAGAAAGGTGGGCAGCAAACACAATTCGCTTAAGATCACTGCATCGCCCCATTCGTTGTTGCAACGTGCGATGTAGTAGTCACTTGCAAGAATGGAGCTTGATTTCGCGCACTGATGTGTTATCGGCCAAGTTTGCTGCCAGAACCGCTCAGGTCGACGTCGATGCTGAACGAGGCTGTCAGAATACATCGTTGGCCGACCCGTCTCTGCTGTGCAGGAAGACATAAGTGGCAGTAGTCACTACCATACCAAAAGTTCGCGCTTGGGTTGCGGAGACCTCTACGCATCACCTAGCTGCATTGGTTCAACGTACTGTACAGTGCCCGCACTGAAATGCGCACGCAGGTTCAGCACCTGAGCTTTGGAGCCAAGGTTCCTACGGACTGCAGGGAATCATTATGACATCCCACGGGTGATGAGACCATGTGGTTTCAAATCGGGCATCTCAGGATGATAGCACCAGCGATCGCGCAAGCATGAACGGACACTCCGTCACTTCAATATGACTAGCGCGGTGCGTGCCTGTTGAAAAGCATCAGAGATGGTGGCGCTCACACAGTATGAAGCACCCAGAAAACTTGTAAGTTTGCACATACACACAAAACGATCCAGGCTGGCACACGCTGCGGCCTGCCTCGTGCCGCAACAAAGTCGAAGGAACTCAGGAGTAATTGCAAACATGCCTGCCGGTGGTCGTCCAAGGACATTCAGTTGATAGCACTAGTTGAGCCTTCTGGCCACAATCTGATGGCACGTTCCCATGGCCCCTGCCGGGTATGGTAGAAGGGTTCAAGAAGGCTCATTCTGGGGCCGTTTGTCCCTTTACGGTAGCCGCATCTGCATTATATATGATATTCGTTGCGCGCCACCGCCCATTGTTGCGTGCTGTGCTGTTCCAGCTTTCTGGACTGTGAGCATATGCTAG